AAGACGAAGACGAAGACGAAGATTGTGAAATGTATAGGAATGTAAAGTGAAAGGAGTTTTACAGGTTCTTTTCCATAGTGAGCCCAAAGTTAGCTTAAAGTTTGGTTGAATACGTGGGCACTATGATTGGAATGATGGAATACTCGTACTTGTGCCATAAAATGAGAGAAAAGTGCCTCTATAACGGCATCGAGGGACGTCTACAATGAAGTATGATAAATGCATGATGGAATTGGCGATAATCCAGTTGGGTTGCAAAGAGATATACAAAATAAATTTGCGTGAAGTATTAAAGAGAAAGAGTTGACAAAGAACGTTTGTGGTATCCTAAAGGCGTGTGACCAACAAAAACGTAAGCATTTAAATGTGAAGTGGTTTGCATTTATACACATACATAATGCATATTTAAAGTTGGAATGCAATTATACTTTCGTGTAATCACATTATGGAACTTAATTTGTTATTGTAGAATGTAATACTAATAAAAAAATAAAACAAAATAAAATAAAATATAAAAAAATATATAAGATAAAATAAAATTAAATGGAACAAAAGAAAATAGAGTAAATTAAAATAAAATATTATAATTTAAAATCAAATCAAATAGACTAAAATTAAAAAAAAAAATAAAATAGAAGAAAATAAAATAAAGAAAATAGTATGAAAATAAAATAATATAAGCTTAAACAAAATTAAATAAAATAAAATAATTTAAAATAAATGAAATAAAATAAAAAAAAAATAAATAAAATAAAACGAAATAAAATAAACTAAAATAAATAAGATAAAATAAAATACATTAGAACAAATAAACATAAATTAAATAAAAATAAAATGAATTAAAATAAAATAAACTCAAACAAAATATAATAAAATAAAATAATTAAATATAATGAGATATAATAAAATAAAATGAACTAAAATAAAATATAATACAGTAAAAGAAAATAAAATAATATAAACTAAAATAATAAAAACTAAAATAAAATATAATAATATAAAATAAAATTAAATGAAATAAAGTAAAATTAAATAAAACTAAATACAATAAAATAATATAAAATGAAAAAAATACAATAAAGTAAAAGAAAACAAAATAAAATAAAAATAAATCAAATAAAATAAGGAAATCTAAAATAAACAAAGATAAATTACAAAAAATAAAATAAAACACAATAAAACGAAATAAAATAAAACAAGAAGCAATAATAAAATATATTAAATAAAATAAAACACAATAAAATAAAATATAATAAAATGAAATAAAAAAGTAAAATGAAAGAAAAAAATTAAAATAAAGTAATGTAAAATAAAATAAAAAAAATTTGATTATACAAAATAAACAAAAATAAAATGAAACTAAATAAAATAAAACAAAACACAACAAAATAAAATAAACTAAATGAAATCAAATACAACTAAATAAAATATCTTGTAATAAAATAAAATGAAATGAAATTAGTATGCTTGCATGAATATGTACAGCTTATGTGCATACATATATACACACACTAACTAGATGTAGCCGTTTAAGATGTTGACATAGCCCAATAACAAAGCATGCAAGAATTGAGATATATATAGATTTTTTTTGGAATTTCGGGTCTCCCCGAACGTGGGCGTTAAATACGTGCATTACTTGTTGCACCCATATTTGCTTTGTATGTTGTATTCAACAACTTACCATCACCAATCAGCTGTTGTTTACTTTGCGTCCAAAATATGTATGTATGTACAAAGTGCATAGTAAATACGTATAAATGATTATACACCTTATAGGAAATTATTACAATTTTTCATGAGATTTAATTAATAATTATTTTCCAACTTATTTTTTTTTCATACATACATACTATAGCATACGTATGTATATACACATATGTATGTTTATATAACACTTTAAAAATTAATGTTCCTTTATTTCATTTATGAGTCTATACACATAAATAAATACATATTTATGTATCCATTGTTGTATTTGGACCATTTCAATACAAGCGCCATTAGATTTTGTTCCGAGAATAAAAAACTATGAACTTTGAAATACTCATGAAGATTGGATACGAACAAGAAGATAGGCATGTACACGTATTAGTAGCATAAAATTTACTAATGTGAAAAGCGACAACATCTCAACGTTGTAGCAAACATAAATAAGATACTTTAAAGGTGGACAAACTTGGATATACAAACATACACACTTTTCAGGTATGATTCTAGCTATGCAATCAATAGACGTACATTTGATTCTTCGTAGAGGGGCATAGCAAATATCAGTCACACTCGCATTCTGTATTTTTATCTACCAAATATGTTGAAAAGAAATATAGTATGTATATATATATATATGTGTATATAATTTGTTCATAAATATATAATTTTAGATGAAGACAATCGATAAAAGAACGGATACTTTTTTCTAATTTAGTTGATTTTAGTTGAAGTACTCTTTTTAGTGTGAATTACATATATAGATAAACACATACATACATATGTGTGTGTAAATTATTGTTTTGTATATTGTTATCTTCTAATATATAAAATTCTCGTGCCAAAGTGTTAGACATAATACGCCAACGAAACGGTTTGACCGATATTAATGGAATTTTATGTGCATAATCAGTAGGTCTGAGAATCGGCTAAGATCTATTTATCACACCCCTAAGTGATAAGAGCAGTCCACCCCAAAAAAAAACTTTTTTAATTTTTTTATGGTCTAAATGATGAGCAGGATGACTACACAGCTCTCCGGGAAGTGGACCAGTGGACCTGTTCAAAAAATCTTATTTATGGTTGAGGTTGAGGCTTTTTGGTTAGATTAACAGAAAGACTACTCTTCCCTGCAAAATGTGGGCCGGAGACTAGAGTTTACCTCACTCCGCTAAGTGGACCAATGTTAATGGTAAAACAAAAATGTTGTATTCCCACAAGTATTGATATATAAAATATATTTCATGACTAATTTTTAATGAAATTCTATGATACAGCGAAGCGTTGCCGGGTACAACTAGTTTTATATGAATATGTAAAAATATTATGTTCGTGATAAAAATTCGCAAATCTCCAGAAGCCACCATCCGATTGAGCAGAAATTTTGTTTTCATGGTCACTGCTAAGGTTTATATTACAATTTATTTTTCAGGCAGTGGACCAGGAACTGACCGATTCCAAGAAATCGTATTTACAGTGAAATTGAACTTGAAATTGTTACACAACAATACTGCCTTATCATCTCTTGACTAACACCAGCGGACGAGGTCAATGCTTGCGTAAAATACTCAACGTTCTGGCGATATATTCAAACCCTATAATTAACCACCAATATGCAAGTCAACCAGCAAAATGAGCCATCGACCGAAGTATTTTCAAGAAACTTCCTGAAAATGGGCAACGGAAAAATTCCAATTGATCGGACTTCAGAACTGTTTACATACCCCGATAACCTCTGTAATTTTGCGACATCAAAAGAAGAAACGATTCACTTGATAAATAAATATAGGGATCATCAGGGGCTGAGGAAACGTTCTACCTTTGCTGCACCAAACTAAGTTTCTTTTTGTTTTTAGAATCCGTCACTCTGAGACAATGGACATCGTTGTGGAATCGAATGCAGCAGCCAATTATCCAACATAGAAAATTTTAAATTCTTTGGGCTTGTAAGGGGTCCTCCCGCACACACATGATGAAATTGAAAATCGGTACAACCATTATAATGCTACGGTTTATTAAACAGGCACACGATTTGCTGGTAAAAAATTACAGAGGAACATAACTCATTCCTCGAAATCCTACTATTGCGTCCGATATTGCTTTTCAATTCAAGCGACTTTAGTTTTCTGTTCAATAAGTGTTTGCAATCACTATCAACAAAGTTCGGAGTGAGTCTATAGAATTGTATGGTGCATATTATGTTAGAGATTGCTTCGTCCATGGGCAATTATATGTTGTGTGTTCTATGGTTGGCAAATGTTGTGTGTTCTATGGTTTTATTTGCATGGCCGAAACTAAGAAAATTTTATACCCACAGGGAGTGAGTAAATAATATCATTATATTTTCATCCAGTGTTTCATTTTTCATACATTCAATGAATTTGTGCCACAGCAAAGCTTATTGACAAAGAAAATCGTTCAGAATGAATTCTCAAAAGAGACACAACACAAATAAATTTCCAATTCTATGTTATGTATGGATGTTGGTCATTAGTAAATTTGTCAACCAATATCTATTATTCAATACTAGTATATATAGTGATAACTAGCTATCTTTGATACCGATTACTGAAAATAGGCCACTTTCGGTAAAGTAATTAATTTGTTATTTTTTTACGCTTCAAAATTGATAATCAAATTTAAAAAAAAAATTTAAATAAAAAATCTTTTAATAGTTTATGAATAGTGATATTAATTTTATAAATAGTTTATCGTTTAAAATATAATCTTTATCATTTTGTATTGATTTGCCATACATACAAACTCTTCCCTTCCCACCTTTCACTCCGCCTCTGTCTAATACTAACTGTGAAAATTTATGTTTGTAACATTTCGTTTAGAAGAGAATGCGTGAAATATTGTAAGCGTTTGGATGTAGACAATTTAAAGCGACAGAGATGACATTAAGACGACTAGCAGGAGCAGGAGCAGCAGCAGATATGACTTTTGTGAATTCAGCGTCTATTTTTAAAACACTGATGTAGAAAATAATGCGTTAATTTCATTTCTTTTGTGTGCAGTTCCAGTCCGGAGCATACATACATTGATAGTTTTGTTATTTATTTTGAAAAAAAAAAAAACAAAAAATATCAAAATTCTTTTTTAGACAAGACAATGGAAAAATACGAAAAGTCATTGAAATCTAAATTAGTTTTTACAGATGTTCAAACAAATTTTTTAAGTTTACATTGATTTTGTTGAGGAAAATTTTAACAGTTCTTTTAATTTCCCGCACATTTAGCGGCAGTAAAATTAGAGAAATATTTTCAGTATTATTATTATTTTTATACCTGCTTACAACGCAGCCAAAACAATATAGTGTGTGAATAACGCAGTGGGCCGCCCAGGCGATTACCTCCAGGTTGTTCTCGTTGGGCCTGCAATTTCGCCGTTAAGGTCTGCCCCGTTTGTTGATATACTTCGATAGCGCTACAAGTAACGAAAATGAAAGAAAAAATATTAAAAAAAAATGAAATAATTTATTAATGTAAGAAGAAATAAAGGCTTTTTTGTATTTTTGCTAATTATAATAATAATTTTTTTTTTTAAATTTATTTCACTCTTAATACGTGTATATTCTGACATGAACCACAGTTTCTCATAGAAAAAAAACCATCAGACGTTCGGAGGAGGAGCTCCGCCGAAAACCGCTTAAGCGGTTAAAAAGCGCCAATTATATACATATATATATAAATAAATAAATCAAAATATTTTTTTTAATAAATTAAAATATATGATTTGTAAATGTGTAAATAAATAAAAAAGTAAACACAATAAATAAATGAACTAAATCCGATTATTAAAAAATATATAAATAAATAAATAACAAAATGAATTAAATAAATAATTCATTCATTCACAAATCTAATAAATAAACAATTTAAGTAATAAAAAATAAGTAAATAAAATAAATGTATTTATTACTCAATTTGTAAAATATCTAAATAAATAAAAAACAAAATAAAATAAATTAATAAATAAATGAATTAAATTTAATTAATCACATAAAATATGAAAAAAATAAATAGCTAAATGATTTAAATAAGTTAATTTATTAATCAGTTCCTGAAATATGCAAATAAATCAATAACTGAATGCATCAAATAAATATTAAATTAATTCACAAATAAAAAAAAAAATAAAATCAATTAATTAATTAACAAATTAAAGAAAAGCAAATAAATAAAATAATATGTAGTTATAAGTCAATTCGGAAAATATGTATTTAAATAAAAAACTAAGTAAAACAAATAAATAAATAAATTATTTAACTAATTAATTAATAAATATATATATAATTTCTACACAATTTGTAAAATTAAATAAATCCATAAATAAATGCATTAAAGAAATAATCAATTAATATACAAATAAAATAAAATAAGCAAAATTAACTAATTAATTATTTAATAAAGTAAATATAATAAATTCATATATTAATCAATTAGTTTATATTTATATTATTTTTATTTTATATTTACATAAATAATATAAACATAAATAATACAAACATATATTAATTAGTTAATTAATTAATAAAAAAATTAATGATATTTTTATTCAATTCGAATTGTAAATAAATTAATAACTAAATGTATTAAAAAATACTCAATTAATTAACAAATAAAATAAATAAACAAATTAACTTTTTAATTAATTAATAAAGTAAATAAGTAAAAAAAAATTATTTATTAATCAATTCGCAATATATGTAAATAAATGAAAACTATATAAAATAAATTCATTAAATTATTGAAATAAAATGTGTAACTAACCAGTAAATAAACTAACTGACTTATTAAGTATTTAATAAACAAAAAAACTAGTTAATAATTTCGTAAAATATGTAAATAAATCAATAACAATATGAATTAAATACAATAAATAATTAAATAAAATTAAAATTAGTATAATAAATATAAAACTAATAAATAACTTAATAAAAAATGAACTATAACTTAATAAATAATGAACTAATAAATAAAAAACTTAATAAAATCAATAAAAAAGCTAATTAACTAATAAAAAAATAATTTAATTTATTAAATAATACGTAATAAATGTACAAAAATAAATGAACTAATAGAATGATTAATTATTTAGCAAATGAAAAAATTAAAAATATAAATTATACAATAAAATAAACAATTTAATTAACTAAATAACTTATAAAATAAATAAATAAAATGAATCACTTAATTATTTAAGCAAAAATAAATAATATATTAAATTTTCAATCAATTCGTAGACTAAATAAATAACTAAATGATATAAATAAATAAATTAATTGGATCCGAAATAAAAAAAAATTAATAAATAAATAAACTTATCAATTATTTCATAAAACAAATAAATAAGGAAAGAAATATATAAATTAATTAAGTAATTACTTAAATTAATAAATAAAATAATATACATAAATTAAGTAAAGAAAAAAAATAAAAAACATATAAATAAATAAATCTACTAATTGAAAAATAAAATAAATAATTAATCAATTAACAAGTAATGTAAATAAATGCTTAAATAAAAAGAAATATAATAATTAATTATTAAAATAAGAAAAAAAAAATTAATTAATTAGTTTAACATTAAAAGAAATAAATTAAATATTAAAAAAATAATAACAACAAAAATAAATCATTGAATTTTCTTCGAATTGTTTTCATGTACGTATAACACTTTGTACAAGGCGTTTTTGCATGTTCACTTAAAAATCGGTTTTCTTTTTCAAATTTCTCTAATTTTTAAAGCACATTTTTGGCACGCAACACTTGTGTAAGAATTTGTATATCAATTGCTTTTTAAAACATTGTTCAATCACTAATTTTATGTCAAAAACAACACATGTAAGTCAACAGATGACTATAATTTGCTGACAAGTTTTTAAAGGGTGTGAATATATTTATTGACGGAAATACTTCTTGTCAGCACTTGTCAATCAAATGTAGGCATATTTACTTTTTACTTGGAATATTTTGAATTTATTATTTGAGTGTTGAAAGAAACAAAAAGAAAAATAAACACTTTTTAGTATTTACTACAAATGCAAACATATTTATATAATTTTGCAATGTCAAGTCTTTTTAGTTTAGTGTACTTAAAAAAAAATGGAAAAGATTTAATGGATAAACAATGAAATATTTGAAAATAAAGATCAATCGAATTAATGATTTTAATATTGTAAAATTGGGAAATATTTCTTGGACTAACAATATTAAATATACATATAAATACATCTTTCTTCGTTTCAATATATTTTGATAAGTATTAATCACGATTTGAACAGGAACCACCAAGGCGATTTGGTGACCAAACTTCAGAGCAAATGGAGTTTAGGAAGAGAACACTTCCCCTGGATGCCTTTTTACATCATCAATAACGCTGAAACGAATGTCTCATAACCACACGATAATAAGCCCAACGAATAACCTCCAACCACCCAACCGACAGGAGAGGCGAAATCCAAATAACGTACGGAATATGCCAAGTCATGATAAGTAAGCGTTTGATAAATGTCGAGATTGAAACTAAAGAAAAAGAAATTAGCTGAAACCTCTAAACAAAAAACAATAAAGTTGTGGGAGTCGTTGGTCTGCCAGCTAGAGGAGTTTGTTAAATACTTTGGTGTAAAATTGTATATCAACGAATGTAAGAAAGATAGTAAAGGAACCACGCATATTATAATGTATAATTGCGAAGAGACTCACCGAGCTGATATCTGCCAAATCCTTATGAAAGGTAACCTCCGTCTGGATGGCAACAAGGGTACAGCATAGTTGACCACATTGTCTTTCTCTTCGCTGGGATGTGGATCGCGGTAAGTCTTTCGCCACCGAGCTGACTATCGATAGTCGGCGAAAAAGTTTCTCTCCCATCACAATGCCAACATTACAGTTACGCCACTTTATATATATATATTTTTTTTTAAGATCAACTGGAATTCATGTAAGTCCATAACATAACATTTTAATGGGCTGAGGCTGATCGACTACGTTGGCACTCAAAATATGGTTGTGTGTAGCATCAGTTTCCGGCACAAATTCATCAGATTTGAATCGAAGTGTCTTGTCACAGCGAAGATATGCATCCACCTCTGGACTAAATTCAAAAAACGCAAGAAAGATGCGATGTCGGAAAGTTGAAATCACAGCATATAGTTGGTCTGGAGCTTCTGCATTCTGGAAGTATCCATTAGTAAGCCCCCTATGATGACGAACCAAATCTACCATCAGCCAAGCTTTATTCTTGCTAAAGCCTCAGTTGACCAGACATCCACTATGCTATAAATCTTGGAGAAGATCCATCGGAGAATAGTTAATACACACCATTTTGGCGTGGATTTCAAAACTACTTTCGACAGCTTCCATTAATTTGCTTTGGTTTGGTTCTCCATACCATATACGACAGTGCAAATTGTCGCTATATCATACCAGAAGCGCAGTTAGAAGTACCTCTCCGAGCTGTTCGGTACCAAACGAGGGTACTCTCTATTTGATTTCTTCGACGAGCTTTACGAGATACATACAAATATGCCGATATTTATATACATATGTTTAACAAATCAAAAGACAGGCGCTACGCTGGCAAAGTCATGTTGTCCGAATGAATGAAAGCACTGCAGCTTTGAAAATATTCGATGCAATATCCGCTGGTGGAAACTGAATAACAGACAGATCTCCGTTGGGAGGATTAGGTGGAGAGCGATATGGTTTTTCTAACAGAGCTGAAATATATTTGGGCCACACTAATGTACATATCTACATATTGCAGTTTTACCTACTTTAATTACAGTCCTTATTCAATCCATTTCATTTCTTTTTTTTTTTTTGAAATTTAGTTAGCTACTTAGTAACTGTGTCGGCAATTCGCATCTACCGGAAGTCACGTTTCTATTGTAGCTCTTCCTTGCACGCTTTCGATATTTTTTTTTTTACATTTCTTTCATTAGACTTTCTCATAGGTTTGAGGCTCGTATTAGAGGAATGTGTATTTGCTATGTCATGAGTGCCCAGCAGGAAAAAATGCTAGTTGTAACTAGAATGCAACTAGTTTACACTTTCACACGAACTACTTAATCGACCTACTTTTTCGGATATTTGTAACCGGTATTTTTAACCCAGCGATGTCATACGAACTGTCAGTTGGCCAACTACACCTCAGCTTCATACTAGTTAAATACTAGTACACTTGGGTATGTGGAATTTTTACTTAACAAAAAAGAAAATTAAATGAAATTTGCTAGGTTTAAAGCATAAAACACAGGCATGACAGTCTTGCACAGATATCGTGGCGATGTAACGAGTAGTAGCGCACTTCAACAGAGCATAACAGAGAATATAACATCATCGTGAGGTGCAAAATATTAACACAACATGGCTGTGGTGTAGTGGTGGAAATTGTTATTATTGCCGTAAATCGTGAACATT